AACTAAGTAACAGTCCATCTCGACGTGCTTAGTCCGTTCATGGAAGACCGGATTAGCATAAATGTGGAGAGCAACCTGATTATCACAGTAGAGAATAGTGGGCGAGAGTTGAGGAACTCACAACTCACCAAGAAGGAAGCTAAGCCATAAAACTTCGCTCGTAGTACTGGTCATGGCGAGGTACTCGGCTTCAGCAGAGGAACGCGAGACAACTCGCTGCTTCTTAGCTCGCCAGGAAACAGGTGTTGTGCCTAGTTGAATGTAGTAGCCTGTCATCGAGTGGCGAGTCGACCGACAGCCGGCCCAATTTGCATCACAGTAAGCCGTCAACTCCAAAGTACCTGCGGCAGGCAGAAAGAGACCCTGACCGGGGGCAGTCTTGAGATAACGTAGAACTCGATGCGCTGCCTCGACATGGGCAGGACTGGGAGAATGCACAAACTGGCTAAGAATGTTGACGGAGTAGGCGATGTCAGGCCGAGTGATAGTTAGGTAGAGGAGGCGGCCAATAAAACGCCGATATGCACTTACATTGTCTGCCTGGTTGTCATGGGGCTGCGTGAGGGTATGATTATGCTCCATAGGAAAACCACTGGGACGGGTTGCACCCAATCCTAAATTAGCCAAGATATCAAGAGTGTACTTGTGCTGAAAAAAGACAATGCCTTCAGGTGACCGTGCAACTTCTATGCCAAGGAAATACTTGAGAGGGCCCAAGTCCTTGATGCTGAAACGGTCATGTAAGAAGGTCTTGACACAAGAGATAACATCGGGGTTATCACCAGTTAGCACGACGTCATCGACATAAATCAAAGCGGCAACGAAAGTACCAAGTCTCTCATAAAGGAAGACAGAAGGATCAGCCTTGGAGACAAAAAAAATCCAAACTCCTGAAGGGCCGAGGTAAACTTGGCATACCAATTCCGTGACGCCTGTCAGAGAACATAGAGAGACTTGCGCAGAAGACAAACAAGTTGATCTCCGGCATGGGAAAAACCGGTGGCAGCTTCATGTAAACCTCTTCATCCAAATCACCATGGAGGAATGCATTATTCACGTCCTGCTGGTGCAAAGGCCACGATTTGTGCGCAGCAACTGCAAGAAGAACTCGGACAGTAACGAGTTTTGCAACAAGTGCGAAAGTGTCATGAAAGTGGATGCCCTCCAACTGCGCAAAACCCTTAGCAACAAGCTGAGCCTTGTATCGCTCTACAGTGCCATCAGGACGATACTTGATCTTGTAAACCCACTTCGAATCAATGGCCCGTTTACCAGGATGTAATAACTCGAGAGTCCAAGTGCCATTATCTTCAAGAGCTATGATTTCCCGCTGCATGGCATCCCGCCATTCCTGATATTTAGCCGCTTGGGAGAAGTGACGCGACTCGACTAGGGATGTGCCTACAGCTAAGAAAGCACGATAATCAGGTGATAAACAATCATAACCGACATAATGTGAAATGGGGTACTGGACCGAATTAGAGGAACGGGAACCATGCAATGTTACCTCATCAGGTTCGAGTCGGGAAGGAGGTCGGCGATCACGAATTGGATTGCGCCGTGGAGGGGGAGGTGATGGTGCAGTAGCAGCTGTGGGAGAAGTCTCCACGTCAGAATGCTCATCATCATCATCATTAGCGGCCTCGGTAGCATTAGGAACCGGGTCATCATGACGAGGAGAAGAGACGTCGTCAACATGGGGTCCGGAATTACCATCGGGCGAGAGCAAATCAGCAGGGTCCTCATCAGCCGTAATGAAAGGCGGCTCGTCATTGACGGGACCGGAGTGCTGCATGGAGAGCTCATGCACGTGAGACCGGAATGGCGCATGTAGAGGGGCCTCGGGAACGTGTAAAGAAGAGGAGGCAGGCTCACAAAAGGGGAAGCTTTCCTCGAAAAAATGAGTGTCACGCGAGACTAGAATGCGACGGGTCAAGAGATCAAAAACTTGGTATCCCTTCTGGTTGTCGGGATATCCCACGAAAAGAAAAGGCCTCCGCCTTTCGACAAACTTGTCAAGACCGTGGTGCGTATCCTTGACATAAACGAGGCACCCAAAACTGCGAAGGTGAGTACAGGTGGGATTTTTGCCGAGAAGCATCTCAAAAGGTGTCTTGTGGGAGATGACCGGAGAAGGTAGCCGGTTGATGAGATAAGAGGCAGTGACAACGCACTCACCCCAAAAAGGAATGGGAGACCAGCGTAAAACATGAACGCACGGGTAGTCTCTAGAAGGTGCTGATGCTTACGCTCAACCACTCCATTTTGTTGTGGCGTGTTAGTGCAAGAGGTCTGAAGTAGAATACCCTTCTCCTCGTAGTAAGCACGAAGAGAGTTAGTCTGAAATTCAACTCCATTATCCGCCTGTATACGACGCACATGTTTCCCATACTGAGTGACTGCGAGTTCATAGTGCAACCTGAGATACCCCTCAACGTCTGATTTAAACTTCATAAGATAAACCCATGTGGACCGACTATGGTCATCGACGATAGTGAGAAAGAACCGCGACCCATCCAATGCTGGAGTCTTATACGGCCCCCATATGTCGACATGAAGAAGATCAAAACAAGACAAAGTTTTAATTGAACTGTGGGGAAAAGGAGTTCGTGCCTGCTTAGCACGTAGACACGAATCACAACGCAATGTATGCCGAGAATCCAAAGTACAACCCACAAAATCCCATAATAAAATCAACTTATCAACAGAAGGATGCCCTAGTCTTGCATGCCAAAGGTCCGGCGCATCCTCTCTACCAGCCACTTTACACGCCTGAGGGAGAGCCTTCAGCGATCCGACTGAAATAGTAAAGCCCGTCACGAAGCCTACCGATGCCAATCGTCGTCCTGGAAGGTAAGGCCTGGAGGACACAGAAGTCATGAATGAATACCACTGCGACATTATGCTCGTGAGTCAAACGACTCACGGAAAACAAATTACATTTGAAATTCGGAACATGTAAGACCCGATTCAGATGAAGAGAATCCGATAACTGCACCGACCCAATCCCATGCACGGGAATACCCGTACCATCGGGAATCTAAACTTTAGATGAACCAGATACACAATAAACAGTACTTAACCAATGTGCATCCCGTACAATATGCTCGTTACAGCCAGAGTCAATTAACCAGGCAGAAAGATCAGGAGTGTTACCAGCCATGTGTGCAGTAGAATTGGTAGAGGCATCAGGAGTGGATGTCGACAAGAACTGCTTAAGCTGGGCAAACTGGGTTGCGGTGAGTCCTGGAATCGGGCTGCTGTCCGAGGATTCAGGCTCGACATGGGCAGCCTTGAGATTTAGCTCGCGGATGGCCTGGCGAGTAGCTTATGAGACGATAACAAGTTTCGTGGAGATGACCCACCTTGTTGCAATTGGTACACCGCAACTTCTCAAGATCATCCTTAGGGTCCTTGTCAGCCGCTTGTGCCTGGAAGGCAGCAGTGTCCATAAGAGGGCGCCGACCATTAGTAAGCAACTTGTGTTGCTCTTCGGCAGAGACGCGTTGATAGGCATCTGCAAGTGTGGGAGTGGGCCGAGAGCTCAAGATTTGCGATCGAACAACCGTGTAACCATCTTCCAACCCAAGTAAAAAATCGAACAGTCTCTCTGTCTCTTGTTTCACCTGGTGTTGTGAGATCAAGTCACAACGACACCCGCCGCAGGTGCACCCAGAGCAAACACAACGCGGCACCACACTCACGGCATCAAGCTCGTCCCAGTACGAGCGTAACTTGATGTAAAAGGAGGAGACGGAGAGCTTCTCTTGTCGTCGGGAGCTGACCAGTCGACGCAACTCATAAGCGCACTGCACCGATCCCATACTAAAACGATTCTGCAAATCAGACCAGATGTCGCGCGCCATGGAAGCCATGGGGACGCTGTTGCGTACCTCCCGCGTCATTTCAGTTTTGAGCCAACCTTTAACGGTGGCATCACAACGATCCCACGCCTCTTGGTGACGCGGGGTGCCAGCCTTTGCACGCGGTAGTGAACCATCGACGAAAGTCATCTTGTTTTTGGCGATGAGAGTCTTGGTGAGATCATTAACCCACTCGCCATAGTTGAGGTCTGTAAGCAAATCAGTACCAAAGAGCTGCGCCGGATTCTCAGAGGGATGGAGGTAAAGAGGTGAGCTGATGGGAATTACCTCGTCGGCCACAGGGGTGCCGCCAGACCCACCACTCATAGAATCCTCGTCCTTGCCCATGATGAACCAACACAAAAGGTCTAGATGTTACTGCACTGATATAATGTAAAATAGAGGAAGCGGAAAAGAAACGACGCACGAGATTTACATGATATCCCCAGAGACTGGGACTAATCCACGGAGAGCATAGCTCCCATGCTGAAGTTCTCACTATCAATGAAGGAGAAAACAAGCTACCTCTGCGTTAGGGTTGCAGGAGGCGGCAGCCAAAACACTTATACCCTTCGACAAATTAAACACGGGTATAGTGCAAATTATAGTAAGGGCCCAAAATAATAAAACTAAGCAACCAAGTCCAAACCAAGACTAATCATGCTCAATAAATATGAGCAATTAAAATTTCAAAGTGCTATGTTATTGTTGCAATCTAATTTTTATGTAATCCAACCAAAAACAAAAGTGTTTCCATATTGGCATATTAGTGATTCATCTAATGAAGAAGGAAAGTTTATCCTTTATTATAAATATTTTGTCTTTTTCTGAGCCATTGCCGCTAATAAATTATTTCAATCTGTGACCCAAAAATATCGCACCTATTAGCCACTTTCATTCCAAACAACAAAGGCCATAGCTTTAGTCATCTCGCAATTTTCAATTTCCATTTGCATAAAATGAACAAGAAAATGTGCACATGTATGTGAAAATCATTTATGACTTGCTTGTAGTTCACAATTTATATATTAAAATTCTTCGACACAACTTTAGATATTCGTCTAATGATCAATATAGGACAAGTATAGGAGAAAAAATTGTATAGATTAGTTGTAATTCTGAACTCTATGGTCATATGAGAAAAAAATATGAGCAAACTAAATGTGTTATTTTACCATCTAATTTTATGTGATCGAACCAAAAGCAAAACTATTTTCCCAGTTGGCATATTACGATATTCGTCTGATGAAGGAAAGTTTATACCCCAATTGTTGACGAATGACGATAAATATTTTGTCCTTTCCTGAGCCGTTTGCCTCTATTAAACCATTTCAACAGAAACGATCTGACCAAAACATCGCACGCTATTCCGCCCCCACCAAGTATGGATTCATCCCTCCCCGACGCCGACACGCCGCTCCTCCGCCGTGGCCAGTGGTGGCGCAGCCAGCTCCGCCTCAAAACAAACCTATTCTCCGAAATGTCCGGCGCCGTCGGCGACCTAGGCACTTTCATCCCAATCGTCTTAACTCTCACCCTCGTCTCCCACCTCGACCTCTCCACAACCTTAATCTTCACCGCCCTCTACAACATCCTCACCGGCCTCCTCTTCGGCGTCCCCATGCCCGTCCAGCCCATGAAATCCATCGCCGCCGTCGCAGTCTCCGAGACCCCTCACCTCACCCCTTCCCAGATAGCCACCGCCGGACTCTCCACCGCCGCCACTCTCTTCATCCTCGGATCCACCGGCCTCATGTCCTTGCTCTACCGCTACCTCCCTCTCCCCGTCGTCCGCGGCGTCCAGCTCTCCCAGGGCCTCTCCTTCGCCTTCTCCGCCGTCAAGTACATCCAGTTCAATCAAGATTTCGTCGCCTCCAAATCCACCACCGCCAGGTCCTGGCTCGGCCTCGATGGACTGATTCTCGCCCTCTCCGCCCTCCTCTTCCTCGTCCTCACCACCGGCTCCGGCTCCGACGGCGGCTGCGGCTCCAGCACTTCCAGCGGTGAGACCAGATCTCGCCGCCGGGTCGCGAATCGGATCCGGATCCTCTCCGCAATCCCCGCCGCGCTGATCGTGTTCCTACTCGGATTAGTCCTCTGCTTCATCCGGGACCCGGGGATCTTCTCCAACCTGAAATTCGGTCCGTCCCCGATCCGATTGCTGACAATCACATGGGACGATTGGAAAATTGGGTTCCTGAAAGGCGCGATCCCCCAGATCCCCTTGTCAATTCTCAACTCCGTAATCGCAGTCTGCAAACTCTCCACTGACCTTTTCCCCGACAGGGACTTATCGGCGGCGAGGGTTTCAATCTCCGTGGGAGTGATGAACTTCGTCGGGTGCTGGTTCGGAGCCATGCCGGTGTGCCACGGCGCCGGCGGGCTGGCAGGGCAGTACAGGTTCGGAGCTAGGAGCGGGCTGTCGGTGGTGATTCTGGGATTGGGGAAATTGGTGATTGGGCTGGTGTTCGGAAGCTCGTTTGTGACGATTCTGAATCAGTTCCCGATCGGGATTCTGGGGGTGCTGCTTCTGTTTGCAGGGATCGAGTTGGCGATGGCGTCCAGGGACATGAACACCAAGGAGGATTCGTTCGTGATGCTGGTATGTGCGGCGATTTCTTTGACTGGGTCCAGCGCTGCTTTGGGGTTCGTCTGTGGGATTGTGCTGTTTCTACTGCTCAAGCTCAGAAGCTGGGATTGCTTTCTCAAGCCTAATGTTGGGGAAGACGAAGAAGAAGAAGAAGACTCGAGTGCGGTTGCTTAGGTGTTCGGCGTCTAGATTCAGATCGGAGTGATGAGATGTGAGCACTCAATGATTTACCTTCCAATGCTTTTCACTGTTGGGCGAATGGTAAAATATGGGATGAGCATGAGTTAAACTTAGAGGTACATATTATGGGGAAATAAAAGTGCGGAAAAGAGAGTTTGTAAAGTATACTGTATTAGTCTGTATATAGTTAGTTAATTAGCTAAGAGGGATAATCGTATTTAGATATGCGATTTTCATGTGGTGCCATTGAGAAAATAATTAAGCGAGTAGGAGGTTAATGACACAAATATTGTTTTTTTTTAAATTTACCACTAATATGGCCAATTAAAAAGTATTGACACAGATATTGTATTTTAGAGACAAGAATCGGCGAGGCCACCTGAGACTCAGGCGCTGCCGCTTTAGCTTGGTTTTTGGACCGTTTTATTTAGTTGGCAGCGGCGGCGCTCAAGACTCAGGCGGCACCGCCTGAGACCTAGGCGAGTAGGTGGGAAATAATCCCAGGCGGTGGCGCCCTAGACTGAGGCGGCACCGCTGGCTTTATTGCTGGCCACCCACCTTATAAAACCAACCCAGACAATTTCGTTTCAGATTCACACCACAAATAAAAATCGTCCAAAATAGAGAAGAGAGTTCTGGTTGCTGCTGCAAAAATGGCTAATAGGTAAGAGGCACATTTATTTTTGTAATTATATTATTCAAATGCTATTATGATTGTGTTTAGTTTTAATTAGTGAGTTTGTTTTTTTGTAGTGATTTTAGAAGATTTGAACTAGTTGTTCGGTGGAAATCGGAGAAAGTAGAGGATAATTTGGGCGTCAAATTCGTTGGTGGTAGTAGTTTTTCGTTGACGGTTCCATCCAGAGTCACATATCACAAACTTTGTGAGAATCTAATTCCGAGAATACGGCGCAGAGACGAAGCAGTAAAAGATAGTGATGTGATCACAGGTTTCACTTACCGTCTTCCAGAATGGCAGAATGATGTTTTATTTCATTATGCGATACCTATTGTGGATGATGATAGCTTGAATGTGCTTTGGAATTTTATGGCACAAAATCCTTATTGTTTGGGTGCTGAGATACATGTTGAGCTCAGTGAGGATCAGGGTGCAGAGGAAGAAGATGATACATGGAGCGTGCCATCCGATCATGACTATGATGACGGTGATGACGGAGAGGAGGAAGATGAGGAGGAGGAGGAGGAGGAGGAGGAGGAGGAGGAAGGAGAGCAGCTTAATTATCCTCCATATTTTTACTTGCAGGGTAATGAAGAGGACGAAGGATTATCACTTGCTGATTCATATGGCGTAATTCCAATGCCTATTGTTGATAGTTTTGAAGGAGAATTCTACAAGGGGCAGATATTTCACTCGAAACAAGCTTCACAGATGGCGATTAAACACCACGCACTACAACGCAACTTTCAATATGGCGTGGTGGAGTCGTCACCTTCAATATGGAAGGTCAGATGCTTGAGGCACAAGGATGACAATTGTCCTTGGATGGTGCGGTTTGGATGTCGAGATGTTGGGGGCGAATGGACTGTGAGAAAGGCTGAGTTGGTGCATTCTTGTAGCAGTACGACTCAACCGACGGACATCGCCATCTTGATGTCGACATGATATCTGAGGCCGTCAAACATTTGGTACGTGCCCAACCAAATCTGAGTGTTCTAACTGTTCAAGCCGAGTTGAAAGATAAGTTTAATATGCAAGTTACTTACAAGAAGGCTTGGTATGGGAAACAAAGAGCATTGGAGAAGTTGCATGGAAATTGGGAAGAATCCTACGATTTTTTGCAAACATTCTTGCGGGTGGTCAAGAGAAAAATGCCAACATCGGTGATTGATTGGGTAAGAGTTCCTTCGACTCAACCAGGTCATTCAATATTTCAGCGAGTATTCTGGGCTTATGGACCTTGTATAGATGGATGCAAGAATTGTCCAGGCGTCATGGTTGTGGATGGAACATTTCTTACTGGGAAGTATAAAGGAGTGCTACTCATGGCGAGCTCATTTGATGGCCGGAAGAAGATTTTTCCAATTGCATTTGCCATTGTGGAGAGCGAGAATACTGAGAGTTGGCCATGGTTCATGAGGAAGGTTCAGGGTTTGACTGATCGAAATGATGTATGCATCATCTCAGTGCAGGACTCTATGAAGTCATGAATAACATCGGAAGAGGTTGGGAGTGGAGGTGGTGCATGCGACACTATGCAAGCAATTTGCAAAGGAAGACTAAAAGCAAAATTATGTATAATCAACTATTTTGAGTCGGTAAGCTTTCTTCATTTAATTTTGTTATTTGTTTTCATGTAATTTTGTCATGAATTTATCTAACCCGTGTTGTGGTTTATTTTCTTAGCCAGAGAAAAACGGTTGGAGAAGTTTGATCGTCAAGTTGAGCAATTTAAGAAGGTGGCCGCTGATAGAAATATTTCATGTGATAACTGGGTGGATCAACATCAGATTCGTTGGAGTTCAGCACATGATAACTACAATGGTGAGGGTCGTTGGTCTATCCCGACATCCAACATGGCAGAAAGCGTCAATGGTATTTTCAAAGGTATTCGTGCACTTCCTATAGCTTCTCTTGTGCAGCATACCTCTTGGCGATTGGTGGAGAAATTCGATAAGTATAGGTTGGAGACAGGAGCAGAAATTAGAAGTGGCGGTTCACAGTACTCCACCAAGTGCGAAAAGCTGATGAAGTACAGGTCACAAAAGGCAATTGGACATTCTGTGACAGCTCTTGATCGAAGTCAAGGCATCTATGTAGTTCATACTCCTCCCAACAATTTCAACATGACGGGGTCAAACACACTCACAGTTCACTTTGACGATCAAAACCGGGCAGGATTTTGCACTTGTGGTAAATTTCAAGGAAATAAAATTCCTTGCTCTCATGCCATTGCAGCTTGCAACCGAATGGGGGCTAATGCGTATAGGTTTGTCAACGATGTCTGCAAGCTGGAAACAGTGATGGCTTGTTATGGGACAAGTTTCGCACCTCTTGGTGAACCTAAGGGTTGGAAGAAGCATAATGGTCCTATTCTCCATCCTAATGTGCACATGATTAGGAAGCCGGGGAGGCCACGAGTTACAAGGATTCACAACAAGATGGACTGGCCAAGGGAGGGTGCATCACACCAAGTGTGTAGCAACTGTAACCAAACGGGACATAATGCATCAACCTGCGGTGGCCAAACTAGTGGGAGTGGGAGCAACCGAGGAGGGAGTGGTGGCCAACGAAGTGAGAGAGGTGGTAGAAGAGGAAGTAGAGGTAATAGACGTGGCTGAGAGGTGGTAGAAGTTGTTGTATTTCTTTTGATTTACCATGTAAAAGTTGTTGTTTGTTTGAGATGTTGTTATTTGGTATGTTGTTGTTATCTTTTGATTTACCATGTAAAAGTTGTTGTTTGTTTGAGATGTTGTTGTTTGGTATGTTGTTGTTATCTTTTTTATAGTTAATAAATAATAACAATCCAAAAATAATAGTCTGAAGGAAGTACATAAATAATAACAATCCAAAAATAATAGTCTGAAGGAAGTACATAAATAATAACAATCCAAAAATAAGGAAGTACATAATAATAATAGTCTCACTGACGATCACCACGACGACCACCACGACGACCACCATGCTCCACCGCTAGATGGCCGCCAGTACCACACCTAGCAGGCACCCTGTTACGCACTGGTCTACCATCATACTCCTGGGGCTCATCTTCCTCAACACCACCATCCTGATCCTGTATACCGAACATAGCATCCTGCTGAGACTGAAGATGCTCCTCAAGCTGACCGCCACCATGCTGCTGAGACTGAACATGCTGCTCATAATTCCACATCGTCTCCCGAAACTCCTCATGCTCAGCTAGGTTTCCCCACAGGTCGGGAGACGAGGCTGCTCTAGTATCACCACCTGAGGCCATGTTTCCCATCGTAGCATGCTGCGGTGTATGGAAGCTATCCTCTGGCTGATAGAAGCTCGAAGAAGGATCTGACTGAAACTGCTGTCGTCGCGGCAGCTGAAAGCTCAAAGACGGATCTGACTGAAACTGCTGTTGTCGCGGCGGCTGAAAGCTCGAGGAAGGATCTGACTGAAACTGCGACCGAGGCGGATTAAACTGGAAGTTCCTCGATGTAGGCCGGTTGGGCTATGCTCGCTGTCGATCTGAAACCCGAAATGAGTTAGGTGCATCACGATGCTCACATCGCTGTCTACGTGGCCTATGCTCCTGTGTGAACTGTGGCTCTGGGACGACCCAGCCCGGTGTCGGATCAGTACGCTCTGGCCAGGCAGTCATGACGGGCTCCTCATAATGGCGCTGTACAGGTACTGTGAGATCAGGGTATCTACGCTGCTCAAACCCTAGAGTAGCAATCCCGGATGCCATAAAGTTGGCCAAGTCCTCACACTGGTCGGGGGTCAGCCCTCCAGCCCGTACACCGTCACGCAAACTCACCTTAGCATGCTCGATAGTGTCGTACTAAAAAACACCAACAAAATGTCAGATATTGTCACACAGTTAACAACAAATTAAGCAAACAAATCAAATAACTAACCAATGCCTCTGCTGCAGCTCCTCTCCATGTGCCGGAATGTCTGGTGACATCTCTATACCACTCCATATGCTCCGAGTGGTATGCTAACTCCTCATCAGTGTATGGAGCCGTCGCTACAAACTCGTGTCGACGGTTCCAGAAAGCAATCGACTCTCTGGATGCGTGTACCAACTGCTGCCCACGCGATGGCCCACGAGTAGCCTGGCGAAGAAAAAACCTAACCTCAGCCTCAGGATGTGGCGGATGAGGCTCATGCTGCCTCATGCCAAACTACCGGAGCACGCGGTCTGGATGATGCCACATCACCGATGAAAAGCAGATAAGTGGCACTACTGTTCGAAATGTCTCAGACTGTATCACACTACCTCTGAGATGAAGTGCTCTCTCAAGGTAAGGTTGCCACTAAAAAACACCAAAAAATTAACGTTATTATCCCTAAATCTAAAAAAATAAAACAAATGAAAACTATTCTATAAAATGAAATGTTATATACTAACCACCACGGTGTCCATCGCGTCAAACCACAGCTTGTACTGGAATAGCTGGTCACCATACTGACGAATGTTGGCCGAAAGCCATCAAAGACCACGTGGGAATGCATCCTCGGTGGCCTGTGCCCTCGTCTCGGAATCTCGAGGTGCCAGATGTGGGAATCGCTCCCACACCCAAAACTGCAGTAGGGCGACCCATCCACCAAGGTCACCGCTAAGAGAAGTGCCGGTATGCGTAATGTGCAAAGTCGACCTACCCATCTCACGGTACAGGTAGGTTAA